TGGCCGCTGCTGCCTCCCCCCCCGTGCCCCAGCCGATGTCACCGGGCACCTCGCCGGCACCTCGGTCGCTCCTGCTCCCCTCCGTGTCTTGCTGCGGCTTTGGCAGCGCCGAGCAGGAGGCCAAGACAGGAAGCCCAGCAGGTCCTGGATGACGCTGCTCCTGGCCGGGGCCAGCGCAGCGCTGACGGGGGCCACCCTGCACCGTGACTCGGGCTCTGGGGTGCTTCACCCGCCGGGGACATCGCAGGGATGCTTCAGCGGGGAATGGAGCTGAACCAGTGGTTGTGGGTGTGCAAGGGTCCAAAGCGGTGAACAGAGCACACGAAGGCAGGACTCAGAGGGATTTTTGGTGACACGGCTGCTACATGAGAGCGAGGATTCGGGAGAGGCACAAATTGTCCCTCTGCTGTGCGTTGCACAGCTGCGAGCCTGGTTCTCCTCCCCCCAGGGTAAATAAGGGCAGGGCAAAAGCTCTGTGAAAGGATTTGGGAAGAAACTGCTGGAGCAAAATTGCTTGTTTGCAAAAAAAAAAAAAAAAAAAAAAAAAAAAACAGGCAGCAGACGCTTCCCCTCTCTTGGCTGTTCAGCATGGAGCTGTTTCTGGAGACCAGATCCCAGCTAACTCCTGCAGCACACCGCATCCCCAGCACCTCCTCCCTGCCTGGGGTGGTGGGTGCGAACGTCATCCAGGCAAAAACCTTGTGCTGGGGCCGCCCTTGTCTCAGCCATCAGCTGGGAATAAATCAGTCCAGGATGCTCAGCGCCATACGGCCCGAGTGTCTCACGCTCTCCAAAGCATCTTCACATGCACCACCACCCTCCGAGCATCCCAGGGGACCACCTTCTCCCAGCCACCTTGCTGAAGAAACAGAGGATACCAAGAGACACATCCTGCTCCAGGCTTATCCGTGGTGGCACATGGGGACGCTGGCCATCACAAGCCAGCGGTGGCCACGTTGTTCATCCTAAGACCAAAGGACACTGTGGGGAACAGCAGGGAATTAAACCCGAGTCCCTTCAGCGCCGGTGGGTCCCTGGCCACAGCGGTCCTCCTGCCTCGGCCGGTAAAGCACGTGTGAGCCCCAGTGTCCCCGCAGAGACGGGGGATCCCCAGACAGCTCCTCTCAGCTCCTTTGCTCTTGGTTTCTTTTGAAGATCACAGCCTCGAGCTCTCAGCACCATCCTCTGAACTCAGCTCGCCTTTGAAACCCAAACTCAGATGTGAATCTTGAAGGCAAATCCAAGCCCGGGAGCTGCGCCTGCACCCTCCCTGCCCAGGAAGCGCCTGACACCTTCACCCACCAGCAGGAACGTCTCTGTTTTTCATTTTATTCATGTTTTCTGACTACAGAGGCATCTGTGGGCACGTCTCTCTCCATGGGTTGCTTTTCCAGAGAGCTGAGCGCCAGACAGGAGACGGGGAGAGGATAAAGCAGGCGAGCAGCAGCAGCCGTGGCAGGGACAACGTCCACACAGGGACCTGGGACACACTCGTGCAAGGAGGAAGGCTGGTTACTTAGGCTGGCTGTGACGTTTTTTAACTGGTTAAAGTAACAGGGGGCTTTCTTATAACACTAGTTTAGCTCCAGGGATCACCTCACCCCTGCAGCATGAGCAAAACCAACACCTGCTGATGCTCAGCTCCCCGCGCCCCCCTCCCTCCCACTGCTCACACTTCCCCAGCGCGTCCTTCCTCCACCTACTCGCATCCTTCATCCCAGCAGCAAACAGCACAAACATTGACCCACAAAGGTGCTCTACCCCGAGAAGAAAGGACTGCTGGAGATTCTGGCCAGGCCACGGCATCCGCCACGAAAGCTGCTCACAGCACCAAAGTTCAGCAGACGCAGGAGAAAGGAAAGAGAAGTGAAAAGCTGGGGCTGGACTTCAGGGCCAGCTGCAGGTCTTCACCCCATCTCCTGGGGTGTCAGGGACCCGCTGTATCCCTGGCACCCACCGCTGCGGGTTGAACGTTGCAGCAACAGTGGGCAGCAGAACATGCCTCAGTGACAGGCTACCTGGAGCTCCCTGGCCAGCTGCGGAGCAGGACAGACACCAAGGCCACGTGCTCACCTGTGTCTCCACGGCAAGAACAAGCCTTGAGCCTCTCACCTGCTCTTACAAGCACGTGGAGCGCAGTTATACAGTGTTCTTACACATTGCATAAGCTTCACAAGCAGCTCCGGCTCTCTCTGGAAAGAGCTGAGACCTCTAGGTTATCTTCCCAACCTGAGCCTGGAAGAAGGGAGGTAAAGCCTTGGAGAGCTACAAAAAACTAGACATCTGGTCCAGGTTCGGCTTAGTCTAACTGCTGAGAAGAGGATGAAAACGGAAAGGGTTAAGGCTGTGCAGAGAGTGAACCACTTTGATGGCCAGCAAGCAGGGTAAAACCAGCTGCGCTCACGTGTTACCAGCCTGGTGCTGGTGGGAGCAGCCGTGGCTGGATCCCTCCTCAGATAACGAAGCTTTAAGAACAAATGATGTGTCCTGCTGAATGTCACCATCCTGGGCACCACCAGTCTCTGCCCTTCCCTATGGAACGGGCACTAGAGGAGGGAAAGTGTCACTTGACCTATGGAAAATGTTCACACCCCAAACTGTGCTCTCAGAAAAAGTCTCTGTTTTTTGGAAACGTCATCCACGCTGACACGCTCGCTTTCTCTGCATGCTGCCCATGTGAGAGAGACTTTTCCAGCAGCTTTGCAAACTAGTGGTAAGACAGGTTTGCACCTGAGTTTGAGGCCAATATAGACATTTCAGGGAGAGGAGAGCTTTTTCAAAGGTTGCAAATTGGTCACAATTAAATCATGGCTTTTCTCCAGGAGAAACTCTCCCCATCCATCTTGCGGGCACACTTTTCCACGTGCCTCCAGGCTAAATTCAGAGCTGGCACTCAATGGGTGATGCTCCAGCAAGCTAACGCAAGCAGAGACGTTGCATTGGCACCCTTGCATCAGATAGGGCTTGGGGAACGTGTCTGACCACAGCAAAGGGAGACCTCACCGGTCTCCCACTGACCCTGTTCCTGGGGTCCCACCGCTCCGACACAGCAGCAAATCAACTGTCACAAAAGTGACTTTCTGGTGGTGACGCATGTGGAGAACAGCTGCTCTTCGCAGAACCATGCTCCCCACCCCCAGCAGCTTTAAGACAAGACTACGAGTTGAGTCAGTACCTCATGGCATCGAGATAACATTTAATAGCCCCGTTAGGCTCACGTGCTCTGGTCAAGCAAATTTCCCAGTGGGCTGGGCAAAGGAGCCCACCTCAAACCTCCCTGCTGCCCACCCTCACCCTGCTGAAATAAAGTGCTGCAGGGGCTGCCAGGGCATTCCTCACCGTGCATCCCCGTCTCAGCTTGGGTTCAGGTTCAAGTGAGGCTTCCTCCACAACAGCCACCAGGAGAAGGGCTTGTAAGGCAAGGCCAAGGGCATCCACTGAGAGCCTGGTTGAGGAATGGGGAGCAGCTGCCCGTGGGGAGAAGAGGATGTCCCCCCTTGCGTGGAGTCTCACCCAAGGAGCAGCAGGCTGGGGCCTCATTCGCTGGCAAAGGGACCTCCCTCCAGGGTTGCAACGTCCGCTTTAACGAAGAACAATCCAAAACCCATGCCCAGCAGCTCCCAAAGGGACACGATGAAGAGATCAAGAGGGCTGGGAGAGGCAGGGTGGGAGGAGAACAGTGCTGGTGCTTTGCCGGTGTCAGACCTGTGAGCCCTGCTCGATCCCCACCTCCCACGAGCTGGGCCTAGCCTCATCCCTGCTCTGCTGCTCCGTTTGGTCCAGCAGTCGATCGGAGGACTCGCCCATGCTTTCCAGTTTGGCGTAACCTACCAGGCTGAGGTGGTCGAGCCGAGGCCAGCTCCGGTTTTTGCGGTCTTTGATGGGAGCCACCAGCAGCACCCCAGGCCTGCCCAGGTCCAGGGACTTGGAGTGTCCTGGGTTGTGGAGCTGCAAGTCCGAGCCGAGCTCCTTCTCAGTGCACTCGGAGGGCAGGAGTGTCTCCGTGGCAGGAGCAGCCGGGCAGCCACCGTCTACGTTAATGACAATGTGGCTGCCCTGGTGGCCCTGTTCCCTTGGGGAGATGCCACTGCTGTGGGAGAGGAGAGCCCAGGAAGGTCTCTGGGCTTCCTCAGCGGGCTCAGCAGGGCTCCCCTCTACCTTCTCGCCAGCCCCTGTGGACACGGCTGTAGTTTCCAACAGGCAGTTGTTCAGCTTGATCACAGGAAGCGCCAGGGCATTGGCAGCAGAAGAAATGAAGGATTCAGCTCCAGGGTTGAAGGAAAGGTTGAGGTTTCCCTCTGCGGAGTTGCCGGAGCCCGAGTGGACGCTCAGGAGGGAAATGGATGGGGACACCCCTTTGTGGTGGAGGAGCTGGGCTGTGGTCTGGAGCCGGTTGGGTCCGTAGCAGTCAGCCCACTTGTTCCCGGGGCTGGGGCACGTATGGAAGACACTGGAGGTGAGATCCACCTCATAGCAGCCCTCCAGGCACTCAGCGTTGGCCTTCAGCGTGGGCTGGCTGGCTCTCCTCTGACAGTACTTGTCCTCAGCACCGGCCTCCTCGGGGACGCCCGCAGTCATGGCATAGAGGCCCTTCTGCATCAGCAGGCGAGTCTCCACGTCCCTGTTCTCGTAGAGCATGGTGTTGGCGCAGATGAAGATGAAGAGCCCAATGCCCATGATGACGGGGCCAATGAGTTTGAGCTTCTCGCTGTGAGGGAAGTGGCGAGCGTGAGCCACCTCCTTCCTCATGTCCCCTGGGTTGCTGGCGTTCCCTGAGCTGGCCCCTGCCCCGGCCAAGGTCCGGTGAGGCCAGTAGCCCACCACGGCGATCGTCATGCCCACCAAGACGACGGAGATGCCCACCATGACGAAGGCCCCCGACGGCGAGCGCATGCGGAGCTGCCCTTTCACAGTCACCTCCGGCGGTGGCTTGCGTCTCCGCCGGCGCCCGCGGCGTCGCGATGGGGCAGCTGGAGCCGCTGGCTTGTTCTCTGCAGCATCCTGGCTCCTCATGGGACCGTTGGCTTCGGTGCTCTTGGCAGTCATCACCTCCGTTTCGCCGGCTCTTCCTGCAGGGTGGAGACGAAGGAGAAGAGGGAGGAGAGAAAGGCGAAGAAGAGGCATCACTAGCAGGTCTGCAGGTCCATGTCTCGGGACAGTGCTGGCAGCAGGGGAGCAAAGTAAAGGGACCAAAATGACAAAATAGGTCGCCAAGACTTAGTACACATGCAGAAGGGCTGGTCAGGCTCCAACCATGCAAGGACCCCGAGTCCACACCATGCTTTTCCTGGCTCAAGGACCCCCAAATGCTGGCCAGCTCAGTGGGACACCACTAGGGAAGATGCTGTTTACTACCCTGCCTCGTTTACACCGGGGAAACTGAGGCATGGAGACAGGCTGCCACAGAGTGACAGTGAGCATCATGCCCACCAAGACAACGGAGATGCCCACTATGAGAAGGTCCCCAATGGCAAGCGTGTGTGGAGCTGCCCTTTCACTACCACGGGTTATTCACGTTCTCCAACAACAAAGCGAGCGAGCTGAAAAATGCTGTGAGCAACATCACCCCCCCCCATGTCACAGACTGGAAAACACCGTAAAAACATGATATCCCAGCCGCAGCCTCCCACGGCCGCAGTGGGGGTTGTTATTTCACAGCCTGGGCAGGAGAGACCTGCCTGCCCAGACCGCTCCCAGAAGCACCCGCATGGGGTGATGAATGGGGACATGCCGTGGCGGTCAGGCAGAGGAACTGCAGTATGGACACGGTCCAAAGCAGGTTATGTGAGGGGGGTCACCACACCACTAAATCACAAATGGTGAAGCAAGCGTGTTTTGTGAAAGCGACCCACCAGCATTAAATTAAATCTGATTAGAAACCGAACGGCACACAAGGCAGGCAAGGAAGGGGGCCAGCGACCAGGCTAATTTTACTCCTCAAGATGAATGAAGCACCAAGAGCCAGCAAACAGCATCACCAATGGGAGGAAAAGGAGACACCAAGCTTTTTTCCAGTCTTAATCATCTTAAGGTGTTATTAGCATCACAGGGAAGGAATTAAAGATATGAGTTTCAGGATGACAGCATGTTCCTGGCACAAGGCTGTCAAGCTGTGACAATTTGAATGAGGGAGATTAAAAAAAACAAAAAAACAAAAAAATCCAAACCCACAGCACACCCGCTGGGTGCGATTTCAAACGAACAAGGTGATAATCCTGCATAGCAAGGGGAGGCTGCAATAAACACCACTAAAGAAGCTACCTCATGGGATGGTCACCCTCGAGTTAAAAACTGAGTTTTGCTTTGTTTTGTAAAACGTTTTGCTACTAAGGGAAACAACTGGGCAATCTAACACTTGCTAAAGGCTGTATTTCTTTCCCCTCCAAATACCCTTATTTAGATGATGTCCCTAGCTTTCCGTGATTACCATCTTAGATTCAACCTAAATGTTATATCAGACCCTTTAAATGCCATGCTGGCAACTTAGGTATTAAAAAATAAAAGGAATCCCCAAAACCCCAGGAGCTTTGCAAAGGCTCCTTGATGCTGACGGTGGCTGCCGGAGGGGGGGAAGGTGTAAACCCCTCGGGGGCACATGGCCCCTTTCCTGAAGTTGCGATTAACACACGCAGCGGACAGGTCCTATTTTTGGCGACAAGCCTCAAGGGTGCCTCTTTAAAACCTAATTCCATCCCTATCTCGTTTAGCTTCCCCTAAGCCCCCTCTGCTCCCCCCGCAGAGCCGGCACGGCTGGCCAGCTGCTTCCCAAAGCAACTGCCTCTAACAGCGTGGGCCATCATCCCCGCTCGCTCCCCCGAAGGGCTGCCCGTCGGGTGCGGACCAGCAGCGGTCACCTGGCTCGTGCCATGCCTGGCCGTTATTCCCACGCTCTGCGGGAATATGTGGTTTTCCATGAGGTCAAGAGCGCTGCCTTGGGAAAACGGGGTTATTAAAAGCTGCCGTGGCAGAAGGGAAGGAGGGAGCGTGCTGCGGATGCTGCGGATGGATGCTGCCCATCTGCCCCGGCCTCCCGACCCGGACCATGTGCTGGCACACATGGTCCAGACTCCGCAGGCTGGGCCTGAAACAATCTCATTTTCCCCTCCAGGCAGCGGGAGCCTCTTTCCCCCGGCCGCCTGCCAGCGCGGGGCGGGAAGGGCTGCTGGGGATGAGGAGGGGCAGACAGAGGACAGCTAACCCCCGAAAGGGCTGGCTGAGCCTTCGGCCTCACCAGCCTCCAGGTTGCCAGTTCAGAAACCCTTCATGCAGCCAGGAAATCCTCTTCACCCTCTGCTGCCACCCCAAAACTGCCGCTGCAAAAACCCCACTGCTGCTTCCCAACCCTCTGCCACTGCTCCTGCCCCCAGCACCTCTCCCCTTATCTCCCGAAGCCTGATAGCTGCATGTTTTCACAAGTTGGAGCATTTAATTGCTCATCGCTGGAGATGGTTGTTTCCCAGAGTTCAAAACTATTATTTTTATTAATAGAATCCCCAAGGTTATATAAGTGCTTAAAAAAAAAAAATCCAACGTTGCCATCAAACTCTAAAACTCACAGACACTGACACTCACGTGAATCGATGGATGCAATATTTTAGCGGCGTTGCTAAACGGAACTAAGCAGCAAGGCAGGGCCTGGGGTCCCGCCGGGGCAGCGTCCCACCCCCCCCGCCGCTGGCTCTGCCAGCCCGTGGCCCCAGCATCGTCCCTGCTCCCAGACCTCCCTCCGCGCCGGAGGCAGCTGCCTTTCACCGGCAGTATAGAAATGTGAATGTCATTAGCATTAGAGAGTGCGATGACGGCTCAGCTGCCAGCCTGCCAGTTTCAAAGTTAAGCTTCCAATCCCTGCAATAAGCCCGTCACTAAAATAAATGCAAATATTCCTCTAATACCCCCCCATCACGAAGGCGTACTGCTGGCCCCACCCTCTGCAGATAGACTTGCCTAAAATTCGACACTAAACCCCAAAGCATCTGACAAAACCGGACCTGGGACGTAACGGCCTCGGGGAAGGGCCCCTCTCGGCTCTCGCTGTGTCCCCGCATCCCCCGGGCACCACGCTGGCTGCTCGAGTTTGCAAAGCGCTGCGCAGCAGCCCCGATAACCTCCCGGGGGCCAAACGAAAGCCCCGCAGCCCGGATGGATGTGCCGCTTGCACAGCGCTTTGCAGCTGACTTTTGGAGAAATACCACCCTGTGGAGGCACTGGAGGAGATGTGGGAAAACGAAAAGCAGCAAGCGCTTGCAAGGTCAGGGCCCTTCCCTTCTTCTCGCAGGGCTTTATCCACCTTGCGAGCCGGCCAGCAATGCCGCTGGTGGGCTGATAAAACAGCTTTCCACGAGCGACCAAAACGACTTTGGCAGGGTGAAGGACTCTGGCACACCAGCAGGGATTAAAAAAGAGGGTCTCGGCAGGGGGAGGTTCTCCTCCCTCCCCCTGCCCAGCTCCAGAGCTCACGGGTGAGATGCTAAGCGACGCCATCCTCGGGGCACCGTCCCAGCACTCCCCGGTCAGGACTTACCCCCGCTGCTGAGCTGCAAGAACTGCAAAGTAAAAGGCGCGAGCGTAATACTGCGATCTACAGGTTTGCAGGAAATCCGGGACAACCTGCTGGCTCCTTTGCTGGTCCTTTTTTTTTTTTTTCTGGGGCACTGAGTTGTCACTTCTGCTTGAAGCCCTCCGCCAGCCCCTTGCCGCTCTCCGCCTCCCAGCACGCTCCTCCAGGGACAGAGCTGGAGCCGAAAGGGCACATTTATTTTCTGACTCCTATTGCTGCTGCTGAGAGATCTGGCCTTCGCTTGCCGTCCGTGCCACAAAGCTGCTCTGCCCAAAGCAGCCGGGGAGCTCTTCGTCCCCGCGCCGCCTGCCCGAGCTTCTCCCCGGCGCCGGTGTGTCTCGCACCTCCGCCCGCACGGCATCGCCCCGGGGAGCCCGTTTCTGCCAGGGTGTCGCAGCCCGAGCGTCCCCCGTGGGCACGGCGCGGTTTTCGGGCCAGCCACCGGCAGCCCGTGCGCGTTTCCAGCTCTTGCGAGACTGGGAGCTTTCCTTAACGCCACCTCGCTGGGAGCAAGGCGATACCCAGGAAGCTCCGTTAACTGGCAAAAGGAAGAGGGAAGAAAGCAACCCCGGGCTGGAGGAGAGGCTTCGGAAGAGGATTGGGAGAGGAGCCTGCAGCACACCTGGCACAGCCACACGCCGAAAAAATCCAGGATTTAGACCTCTTTTAAACTCCTGCGATCCCAGTGCCCACCTGCAGCTGAGCTAGTGGTTTTCCCCAAAACCTTCCCTCAGCGGGAAAGAGGGACCAAACATCTCGAGCCCCTTTGGGTGCAGGGACGTGCCCAGCTGAGCTGTGCTATAATAACCCTCCCTGGCTTCGCCGCCCACCGGGGAAGGTAAAGAGAACGGTAATTGCAGTCTGCTCCGAGAGGGGCCAGTTAAAAATAGCTCCCTTTCGGCGTAACCTCCAACGCCGCCCCCGGCACAGGGGCAAAGAGGGACTCTCACGGAGCAGGAGCAGCGCCGGCACGCAGGATCCCCTCTCTCGCCTGGCAGCGAAGGGAGAAGAAAGGAACCTGCGGGGCCGCAGGGGTCCTGACACTGGTGCACGGCTCAGAAACGCCTCGGGACGCCGCGAGCCTGCGAAGGTCCTGCCGGGATGCGGAGCGAGCGATGCTGCTCCACACAACGAGACGGTGTTTCTGCCCTCGGCGATGCACGCCGGCACATCTCGCCGGTGCCCCCCAGGTTTCAGGCTGGGTTTCTCCCCCCTTCAGCGCGGGAGTCTCAGCACGACAAACGTGCTCCCGGGTCGCTCTGCACCCTGCGGTAGCATCCCTTCTCCTTCCTTATTAGTCTAGTCCACTTCAAAACTGTAGCCCCACTGGCTACAAATTAAAACAGAAGAAAACAGAAAAAGCAGACAGGCATCTTGCAGGGTGTTTCTCAGCAAAAGAAAAACTTGTTTAATTGCTCAGCGCGTCTTGGCAGCTCTCACCCCAAAGAGACAAAGCCCCTTCCGGGCTTGGTCCCTACAGGTAAATCTGTGTCATGCCCACGACGATAACAG